TCTTCGACCAACCAAGGTCGCCGGTCACGAGGGCAGCAGGAGCATTACCAATTATGCACTTCGTCCCCGGAGAAGGTCCACATACCCTTACCCGTTACCCTTGCGCAACTGTAGCTATCTAAAGCAGCTCACTTGAATTTCCGCAAGTAATTTTTCCTTTGTACGACGGTCACTCAGTCGAGCGATTTAGGTGCGCGCCGCGGCTTTTTACGTTTTCGTTCTCTTTCTCTTTCTTCCGGTCAGCTTTGTTTCCGTCGGAGCGAAAATCTCTCGGCCTGCAACATACACCGGTGTATTTCTTTCCGAGGAAATAAATAGTGCGCGGACTGCCCTCGACTTAATTAACTTTCAAACCGACTAACGGTTTTCGCTTCCTCAATACTCCAGCCTATCCATGCCTGAAAACGAACCGACGCACGTTATACCGAGAGCTATCGGTTTTCACGATTTCGCGCACGTTTTTAGGTGCGCGCGCAGCTGTGATCATCCATCGGCGAAGCTACTCTCACGTTGCTGACCGAGGCGGTGGCGAGCCTCGCATTGTGGGAGAAACCACCGTGTAGAGACAACATATGAAGATATAAGAGGATTGAATCAGATCTACCCGTTACATTGGATTTTATTAACTTTGTTTGGATGTGTTAGTATATGCCTAAATTCAATTTTACAAAACAAATGCTATTTATATAAAAATATTTACTGCATTTCAAAGCGATTTCAGCTACGCTTATCTTTCAAAAGTTCTTTGCTTATCCTACCGCAGATGAAATGTATAATTTTTTAGATCACTATCTATGTGAATATTGTTAAATTCTAACAAACAATGGACAGCTTCGAATGACAGGACTTGATATCACCTAATTCAATTAATTTAGTTTTTAATATATGTCATATAATGTAAGAAAATGTGAAGTTTATGAAACGTATTAATTTATTAAAGAATCCATGTAAACAAGTAAATATTATTCAATTTTTAGATATTTTCGCATTTAATTATATTTAAGATCATCAGAATTACTATCGGTTTGAAAATGATAGTTACTTGACTTTCAAATCGTACCTTATTGCGAAAAAACAATCGCATAAAAATGGGACTTACATCTGGCTTAACTTGCCCATCGATTGATAGATTATCGGTTCATCTGAACCATTTATTAAAGTTGTAACGGCAATCAGAAGAGAAAAAAGTTTCAAACATGTTACTTAAATGTTCAAATGCCATTGTCTCAAAGTTTAGCATTGCCTTTTCAGTGCATTGTTTTTCAAAAATATTATTTTTTTAGTTACCGACAGGGATAAGCTACTGTTGGTATCAAGTTATACTTAGCCACCATATATATATTAAGATTTTATGACCAAACAAAAAAATTCAGTTTTCTTTCAATGAATAATATTGAACTCTGAAACGTTGGCATGTAAACGTTTAATATGTTAAAAAATTATGAAAAATTAACAAGTTTAATTTTTTCAATTACACCATAGTTGCGTTAGGAAGATTTGATGTAAGTTGAATTTTGTTCATGTTTATTTCCCTTATGATTGCCGCAATAACATTGCATTATTTCGTCTGTAAATGAACCGCTGATCAATCAATTAATGCGCAAATTCTTAAACTTCAATTTATATCTAAGAAGATATGAATGTTAATTCCCATCTTTGTCTAATAAAATAAGAATAAATAATAGAATAGAATGAACGTGGGCGATAAGTTAAAATATTTTATACAAATCCAAAGTACTCCATGAAAGTAAGACAAGTTAAAAAAAGAAAGAATCATAAAATGCGAAAGACACTTGTATTCTTCACAAGTAGCGCTTGAGTCACTCTAGATAGCTTTGCTGGTATTGTGCTTGCCATGATCGCTAAGCACTCAACAAGAAGCTTTCACGCACTTAACAATGAATGGTAAATGTGCGTGCATTAACTTCACGTGAATTGAGTCTCGAGTGACTGGTGTTAAGTACCCAATGTTCGTTGAAATTGTCGACAAAGATGCAATGATTATATTTGGTATAAACTATGAACTTTTTTGATATCTGATTAAAACTTGAAGAAAGCTAAAACCATTCCATTTTCATTGATATTCTATTTTTCTAACCACATTATTAATTATTATAATTATTATACTTGTGTGCTAATATTAAAATTCCAATAATTTTTTTATTTGTAAAATTTTAATATTTAAGTACCTTTTTAAGGAAACATGGCATAAATTACCAATCGATACTATAGTTATTTATCCGAGCGGCTCACGTTTTTGCAAGAAACTGAATTGATGGTAAATATATTTTTCACGAGAAAAAGAATGAAGAAAATTTTAACGTAAAACTTGTGAAATGAAAAAATTAAATTATTGCTTGACTTTTTTTAGGTGAAATGAAATCTATTTTTGTTTTTTTTAATTCTTTTGTATTGGTATCATTGCTTGAAATCACTTCTACAGTATGGAGTACTACTACAGTATAACATTTCCTATTTTCTCTTTCCCCGTATTTTTTTTATATATAAAAAAGTGATGCGTGCCATGTTGAAGCATTTTATTTGTGATCCAATTCACTGAACTATAATTACAAATGTGTTCAAAACGAGACTTTAGTAAAATAGAATTTATTATAATTTATGAATAATTGATATGGATAAGAGGAACGGAAATATGTAGTTAATAAATCGATATAAGAAAATTATTGATTTTGAAAATATCTCTGGATTATATTAGTATAATATAATCAATACTCGACAACCGTTATCGAATGAATATGTGGTAAAAAATAAGTTGATTAAATTCTTGAATGGGAAGGATGTTCCAATAACTTACTTTGATATCGAATTATTCGGGATAGCGCGAACGCAGTCCCGGCTAACAAAAATTATACGCCCGAGATATCCACATTAGGGATATTCGCAAGGGTCAGCTCAACCGTAGTGCAATGGAAGAGCCTCGCCCTGGAGGAACCGCCTTGGTGATCACGGTAGCCTCTGCGCCAGGTAAGTATGCTTTAAGCTGTCTTATGATCAATTATAAAATCGAGAGATTACTATTTTTGTTAAGGATAGATAAATCAGAGGTCTCTGCCACCATACGACAAAAAATTGAACTAAAATCCCGCCGATTTTTGAATAGATTGATGTTACGATCACTGCTTACATTTTTTTTATAGTGTCTAGCTGTAATTTATTTAACATTATTGAAGATTAACAAAGAAGAATTAAATAATTTTCTACTTTCCATTACTATATAAATTAAGTTTTAGTATTTTTCGAGATTTCACGAGCTAGAACTTGATTTGCGCACGCTCAGGAAAGCTAGCGTGCTTTAAATCTCAAATGAGCATGTCATATCAAAAAATAAAATTAAATAATATAAAACGTTCAATATGATTACGTAATTTTAATTTCTTTCAATTTTTAAAACGTTCAATATTTGCTTATAATATGCTTAATGTATTATAAGCTTTCCATGCTTATAAGATTATAAGATGTAAAACACTTTTAAAGTAGAAAATCACTTTGTCGATGGTTCCGCCGGCAAGTTCAAACGTATAAGTTTATGCGGTCGAAATTCAAAACGTTTACTGAAATGTATACGCGTATTTAAGGGAGCGTCAACGACTACGACGGAATGGAACTACAACACGGCACTGTCTCCAATGTACAGAGAGTGAGCGAGCAAGTGAGAGAGAGAGAGAGAGAAAAGCAGACGGCCGTTATTCAAAGACTCAAGAGACACCACAACGCAAGCGGCATTTTAGGATTATGCGAGTTTAGCATAATATTAGCAGGTTCGTATAGCATTGTGAGCCAAGGGGTTGCTAACGGCAAAACGGAGGTGCGGGATATGCCACGGGAGATGAGGATGAGGGCATGAACACAACGTGAGCGCGACCGAGCGTAGGGAACGCCGGGTATTATTCATGGATTACCTCACTTGTCTCGGCCACGATCCCCTCCAAAGCCTCCATTAGAATAATTGCTTCTTCATCTTCGCGCTTACCTTGCTGCTGCATCTTTCGTGTTTCTATATACTTTCCTTTTGCTCTTCGTACTCACTCTCTTTCACCAGTCGCTCTTTGCTCGCATTTACAGAAGTAAATGCGTAGGTAAACACACGTTTGCAGGAGCATGCCGACAAGTATCGTAGCTCGTTACTGCCTCTTATTACGTGCCATTAATATCATGTACATCGATTTTCCTTTCTATCTATTCAATCAAACGTATATTATCTTTTTCTGATATTTATTTCCCCATTTTAAATAATTTCAATCATTCATTCAGTCAGACGTTCTATTAATTAACAGGTCCAACTAGGTTTTTAAATGACAAGGTTAACTTAGTAAATGATACTTAACTATATAGGTATTTGAATAAAATAGTACTTATGAAAAATTTATACATCCGTATAAGTTTTATTTCTATATTTTATATATTAGTCGATTATCGTTCTTTTCTTGGTAATATATGCATTAAGGTTTGTTTAAAATAGAACATCTTTTTTTACACTTTTTAGTCGAATAACTGTAATTTCGATTGAAAAATATCTTTATTAAGTTACAGGGGTGGTTCGCAGTAAAAATGTAAAATTCAATACAAACGAAATAATTCGCTTACAACATTTTCAAAATAAAATTAAATAGGAATATTAAAAATTCATATTATTCAAACATGAATTTAAAAATCAGTATTTATTCTATGAATATGCGCGTGTGTATGTGCGCGCGCGCGCGCGAGTGTGTGCGTGTGTAACATGTTTCTCAGTCTTTTTACTAGTAATTTTTCTAATACAAGAAAATTATTGACTTACTGATTAAAAGAAGAAGTATAAATTAATGATTGTGCAATACAATAAAAAATTAGAGATCTTTACAACAGAATTAAGTTTTTGCAGGCATTCGTATACAACAAAGTGTACACTCTATCAAATTAATTAAAAACTGAAAAATGTAGATTTCAATATAAAGTATTATATTTTCTTAAATGTCAAAAAAAAGCTAAAAAAATGTTATTTACAGTGTGCTATCTTGTACGTCACTTTCCAGTGTTAGTTCAGTCAGTTTGTCTCTTGTTAGTGCATGCGATCTGAGACTGTCAATTTCGTGCGAATCGTGCGACTCGTGCACGACAGTTTTATTCGATCTGAATATCGATTGCCGAACTTTGCGGTGAGTGAATTTTGCAAAATTGGATGACGGACCTGCAATGGCAAGCAAAGCACAAAGAAAGAAAGTCGCGTAGATCCAACTGACGGTCATGATAATTATTAAGAAGAGGCCAATTTGTATGTAAGGCAAAACTTTGGAGGGTAACATTAAAGCGCCAGCGGCTGTACTTGTCAACGCGGCCATGAAAGTTGGACCTCCCATTTGTTGCAAAGCTGTTTTCGCTTTGTCCATCCGATGCTTGGCATCGCTGGCGCGATAAATAACTCCGTAATGCAAACTAAAGTCCACTGCAAGACCAATAGCCGTCGACACCACAACACTTTCCAATACATTAAGTTTCCAGTCCATCAATATGAGAGCCGCCACGGTGACAGTGATAGCTGATCCAACGGCTGTAATAGCATATAAACTGACGAATGGATTTAACGTTACCAACGCGAGAACAGACAAGCACAAACCCATAGACATGACGATTGCCCATATCGTGCCTTCGTACAGTGTTCTTTGTAATTCGTAAAACTCTAAGTAACTGACGAACCAGCCATTTTTCATTCCCGGCGGTGCTGTCGCCAGTTGATCTTGCATCCAGTTTTCAATTTCATTGAAAAACTTGTCCATCTCGGTAAACGACAAGGAGTAAGTGAAATTACTGTCGTACTCGACAATGACGACTTGGATATCAGAGATGATTTTCATTAACGGTAGACTGACATTCGGGCTCTCGGTTGTTCCGTGAACATTTTGCCTGCGGAATTTCAAACCGACGGTCGGAGCACCGCCAGATCTCTTAAAATTCCAGAGATGCGAGGGCGTTCGATGTATTTCGGCAATAGCCTCGGCAGCACACAAATTCAGTACTCGAGGCTCGTAAGGAAAAGTGCTGTTCTTACAGCAGGGCGAGCGATTAATCGTTGGATCGATCGGATCTTCGCAGGGTCGTTCCATCCAAGGCTGAATCGACTCGATAAAACAGTTTGGCAGCAGAGGCCCAAGAGTACTGCGGTAGAACGGCTGTAGTCTCACGTTCTTGCAAAAATGCTCCAGCCAAATCTGAGAGCGAGGGTCGGTTATGTTGAAAGTCTGGTCGATAACTAAGCTTCCTCGCGAATGAGGATTTAAATAATTTCCGTTATCGACCGGTAGAATACCCCAGACGAACCTCAATGGAAGTGCCTCGGCTCCGGCGCCTTGCTCGAATTGCTCGAAACGAAATAATTTGCTGTATAATAAATCGTATTGCTCAAAGAGATGCGAGCTATCGAAGAGTTGGAAGTCAGGCGAGTTTGGCAACTGCAGACCTGGATATCGGAAAACAACAAAGCAGCTGCCAATAGCCAGAGCGAGGTAAATTGAAAACCACAACCATCTCAGTAGAACGACCAGGCTGACTAAAAACTCGGTGAATATATGATTGAGGCGCTCGAAAAGCACTTGCAAGGGTCGGACAATTTTTTTCCTAAGAAAGTTTTCCGACAACAACGAGCGCATCGTCGACTTTTCGGCGATTATCACAGCAGCCGGCAACCACGTGATCATTAATAAGAAATTCACGATCACCGTGATCCCCGAAAAAATACTAAAGCAATTGATCGCAGTAACGTTACTAACGATAGACGCGAAGAAAGCAACCGCCGTCGTCACAGTTGTCATAAACATTGTGGGCACAGCGTGTTTCATAGTCTCCTGTGTCAGCTGAGCCATACTCGTGTCGGCATTCATGGCTATTTTTCGTTTTGTACATTCCCATGTCTTGCAAAAGATAAAAGCATCATCTGAGCCAATACCCACTGCAACTACGATCGTCAGTATATTCATGAAGGGAAACAGATTAATTCGTAAAATCGATGTGTAAATAGCGTAAGAGATACCGAGACTGAAAATCACCACGAAAATCGTTGACAGTGTGATTAGCAGAGAACCCGTGTAAAACCATATGCAAATAGTTATGAAAGCGAACCCAAGCAATACAAGTACGGAGTCTGAAATTAATGATTTGTCGAATAATGTACTTTTTAAACCAAACTGCATTGCCGTGACGTGCAATTTTCCGTGACTCAAAGTGCTGCGATTCATGTCATTATAATAATCAAAGCTTGCCGAGCTTACCGCCATAGGTAATATTACCAATACTGAGCGAAGTTTGGTGTCATTAGCATTCTTACCGTTGGATATGAATGAGGATTCTAAGAAATAATGCAACAGATGATAAGCTGCGTTGTGTATGTAGCAGCTGGGTGAAACTTTGCGCTGACACCGCAAATCTTCCGCGCACTCGGCACTCAGTTCTTGATTCTGATAGAAATACAAGCACGATTGGAGAGTACTTTTTACGCCGGCCAAGTCTTCTTCGGTCAGTTCGAAACAAGTGGTACGATTCGCTAGCAAAGCGATATAATTAGCCGGCGACCAACTGCGACAGCACTGATGTTTATGTTTTAGTTTTCGCTGGCAGAGCGAAGAAAAATGTGAGCTTGCTCTCAAGCTAGCGTCGATATGACATTGTCCTAAAATATTGTTTAAAGTCCACAAGTCCTGGTCTTGGTCTTCTGAACTAATTACAACTCGTGCGTATTCTGAACTCGGTGCGTTACAGAAAAATTCATCGGTGGTATCCTTCGATTTTTTTCCGGATAATTTATGCTTACTGTATTTCTCATGGTCAATATTATCTTGGCTCCACTTTAAATGCTCTTTCCTGTGACGTTTGCGATGTTTCTTCAATTTATTTCTTTCGTTCGATGTAACGTTTGTGGCACGTGCTGACTCTTTTACCTGCCGATTGGTTTCTTGTACGAAATAATAATATTCTAATGGATTGTCGATTAAATTTGCTTTAGAGCTTGGTGAATCAATCAAATTCTTCCATGCAGTTAATCTTTGTGCTAATGGAGTTCCTCGAGCTTCAAAACCAAGTTGTGGATCAGAAAAGTCTGGAAATTTTCGAGTGACTAATGGTACAATAAAACAAACTGTTGAAAGTACAAATCCGACAACAAGAACAACATGTGGATGACGTGCCAAAAATTTTGAATACCAAGATGTTCCCATTGTCACTGTTCGTAGTTACAACGACTTGAAAACAGTTTTATTGACTTATCGTGTATGAGGTTGATTTATTGCCAACTTTCTATCCGAAGATCCATTCAGACAATCTGAAAAAATTGTGTCTATTTTGATATGCGCACTATTTATTTCAATGTAACGTTTATTTAATGTTTACAATTTCAATGTAAACATTAAATAAGTAACTTATATTATCCGTGTTTTAAAGTGATTTAAAAATAATATTAATTTAATGTCATTAGATTGAGTAAATGATTAGAAACTGTATTTTAAATCGAAGCACAAGATCTATAGGTTCATTCAAGTTTCGCGCTGTTTTCGTTTACTGTACGAGAAGATTACATGAAAATGACGTATGTATTCAATGTAATTTGACATGCTGATACGTCATGTATTTTTATTTTATTATTCAAATTATTGTATTTACTAGGTGTTGATTTTTGTAAACTGTATATTTTTACGGTTTGAACTTGTAATCTGTAAATAATCATTTGGCGCGATGAAAAAATTCAACTTAAAGGAAACATTCATTTATTGAACAAGTGTTCAACATTCTCATAAAGCATCGATATACGAATACGCATTTATGGACTTAACAAGTGTTTTTATAACAAAGCAGAAATTACGACCTTAGCAACACGCGTGAGAAAGAAAAGTGAAGCGAGAAAGCGAAAGAGAGAGAGAGAGAGAGAGAGACAGAGAGAGAGAGAAACGAAAAGAGGAGAAGGTGAAGGGCTACCCTCTCCATGACGTCTCTTCCGCAGTAGGCAATGCAGCTACAACGTATAATCCATCAGATCGAACTAGCCATTCATCGTATAATACTAATTTGAATTCTTTTGTTTTTTTTCGTGTTTCTCGACAATGTACGTAAAAACTTAAACGGGAAGTCAATTTTTTTTTCTCAAACTAAATTATTTGACTTCTATTTTATTGTGCCTTCATCCAATTGAATCTCATTTTATTAAATCTATTATTCTTACGTTAATTATTAGATTGATTTCAAATTAATTTTTGAACAAGCTTGAGTCACGTACCATAGTCCCATTTTGTTCGACGCAGACGTATATATTTTTTCTACGAGCGTCGGTGAGCGGTTCTATAGTCAGTACTGAATTATTTGTTACAAGTGTACACACGACTGACCGTTCCAATGAATTCAAATTATCCTTACATTCGAGCACACTGGATAAATGTATTACAAATACGTTCTAAATATTGTATAACTTACGGAAATTCTCGCTCTTGGTTATTATGTTGCTGTATTTCTTGCTTTTTTTATTTGAAAAACTAGCCGAAAATGAACTACCAAACGCTGTCTGTTGGGGTTGTCTCAAGAGCTCGACACTACTTCTTCTGTGGCGAATGAAAAACTACCGATTTTTGACGAACCCACCTCACTGCATTCGAAGTCGTAGGGCCTTGGTCCCCTCCGAGACTTGTTTTCCAACAGATCTATTGTCAGATTCCGTGCTGTTCTTTGCTGACAGCTTAGCAGCGATGTAGCGGTGGTGGCGTCGTTTTTACTCTTTTTCCTTCTGCTCCTCCTAAACCAATAAGATAGAGACCGCGGGGGACTTACCGGAACATTTACAGGTAGATAAAACAGGTTAGTTCTAAGTTGGGCCAGTGTAGCGCTGAAGCTGCTCTTTATTAGGGACCAATTTTACGTGTATGTATGAAAGGAAGTATATTCAAAGGGACTAGCTCGTTGTTACTTGTTACGATTACTCTGTCTACTATGAATTATAACAGTTGATAAAAATAAAGACGCAAATGTTTCTTCGTAATCTAGTCTTAGTTTTAATTTTTGGCATTTCAACTTCTCAAGTAATTGTCGGCTTGAGCGTGAAAAAATGACTGGATTGTAACAGCATTATAGGTCGAGATGAGATGAGATTAGATTATGGCTTATTTACATTAACAGCTTCGTGGATCCTGCAGACAAGCAGATCTGATATATATCTTAACGTCATATAGTCATTTTACGCCGTTATTTTAGTTTTGTTTTCACTCGTCAATTTAATTTTCTTTGCTTTGTCAATATTTCTTTTCTATAACTCATTTTAAACATTTCGGTTTATGGCAATTAAGGTAAGATGTTTCAAACTCTTCAATTAAACATCGTTTGAACTATGCCAAATAGAAACAAAGAATTATGTTTAGAACAAATTTTTATATTTTTTATTGAGATCCGAATGGACCTGCTATCGACTGTTTGGCAGAGTTCTACGTGGTGCCACGACTGCGGCATTACTTTGTCATTTCTATAGAGTTGACAGAAATGCGTGCTCTGTTTGGATGCAAAAGCAAAAGAAGGGAAAGAAAGGCATTGCGGAAAAGAAGGCAGAGTATTGATACGAGGGGGAGAAATTGAAGCTGAAATTGTAAGCTGCGTCCAGCGCAGGTCCGAATTGGTAGGTCTCTATATGTAGTCTAGGTACGCGCGGGGGCGTAACGTTCTATAGACTTTACTAATATTGCTAAGTACTTCGTCGGCCGGTTGGCGCGTTGCGCCACGCTCACTCTCGCTGCCTATATACCTCACTCGTCTGCCTGATACGATGGGCCTCTCTTTTTCTGCAAAGCCTATATACCTACGCTGCACTCGGCAACGTTTCTTTACTTTCATTTTCGGCTCTTCGGCTCTCGCTATTTTCTTTTTGTCTCTCTCTCCCGCGAGCTTTCGTTTTTCTTGTGTATCTCTTCCAAAATTGATGCCCTTCTCCCACCCCCTTCTCTAGTTTCGTTTTGTCTTCTCTCTTACTGCTCCTTGAAGCTGTTTACGGCTTCTTTTTTTCGCGACCAAGCTTGTACACTCGCGAGGAGGAACCCCCACTTCTCCTGATTACTTCCTATTTCCAGTGGTTACCTCTCTTACCAGTCACATCTCTCTCTCTCTCTCTCTCTTTCTCTCTCTCACTCGCAGATACAGAAACTGAGGGTTGTAGTCCGTGGTATGTTGTACTTTTTTTTTCAATCTTTTCCTTGCGTTAGCTTGTATGTCCCTACTATCATGCGCCCCTCCTTGTTCTGTATGGAACTCATTCTTTTTACACTTAGCCGGGGTAAATGTACAAGGCTAAAATATAACGACAGTTATTTTAGTTTTTCTTTCTATTATTACTTTCATCTTAGTAAGTAAAACTTTACGTGAGACAAATATTATATTTAAATGTCTTGCTTTCTGTAAAATGTAATAAAAATTTATTTCTCACTTATTAATTATAATTATTTTAAAGACAAGATTTCGCCCAGAATTCACATACATATAAGATATAAGAAATTTTGTTTTCATAGTTCCAACAGTTGCTTTTATTCTGTTCATGTATATTTATGCATTTATTGAGCCAATTTTATTTTGGGACTGCTTTAATGATATGGATTCGAATTATTTCTATTTTATTTTGAAACATATATTAAAATCCGTACTTACAAAACTAATACTAGCACAAAGTTGAAAACGATACCTAACTATATCGCACGGTTAGAAAAAGTGTTGATTAAAAGAAAAGAATAAATAATATGACGTATGGAACTTGTACTGAGCATTATAATTTCATTCTTAGTGATGTAATTTCTATTCGGTAAAAAGTCGATACTTTTAAAAAATACCATAAAATGATAAAAAATTTAGAAAAGGTATATAAATGATACAAAATATGTTAAATAATTAGAATACAACTTCAAAGAAAAGAAATCACGTTAGGAACTTGATCTGAGAAGAAGTGCATATATTATAGGCGAATAGAAGAATTAGGAGTTTTATAAAATACCGGCGAATAGAGGACTGAGCCTGTGAAACTAAAGTGATTTGATATCCTTCTAATTGTCTATATGGACGTTATATAAAAGCCAAGAAATCAACGAATAAATATGCGTTATTGTATATTTACTTAATTGAATTTAGGTTCTTAGGAAAATTATATGAGTTTTGTACCGTAAGTAAACGATTATTAAGCTAAGTAAATAAATGTTACTTGAATATCCTTTTTTTGAATTAAGGCTGATATGATTTATCACCTGGTTCACAAAAAATAATGTCTGTTTTTAATCGATTTGTTGGATATTATTTTACTTAATGAGAAGAATTAATAAAATACATTACTTCCATTTTCAGAAATATATTGTTTTCAGGTAAAAATTTTGTCCTTGCTTATACTGTTCACGTGGTGTTATAACTACTGATTCTTCAATTTCTATCATTGACATATGACAAATGTTGATCATATTTACTTATTCATTTAATTAGATATTTGAATGAAACTTGAAAGGGGATTATGTTAAAGTATTTGTATATAAATTATTTCTTTTCGTACTGTTAAATAGCTATTCTTGATTTTCGAGTTAACTACAGTTTAAAAAATTATTCAGAGGGGTAACGTCATGTTTTTTTGCCATATAAAACGTGAGCATTTTTCATAAACAGTTTTATCAATAGTTCAAGCCCATTGAACAATATTATTGAAGCATGATTTACATCTAAAAAAACCTTTGTAAACTTTATGTATATAATTATTATCATTAGTTTCAAAGTCTAATTAGAAATGAAAATATTAATTTTTAGAGAGATAGTGAAAACATCCCTTTTTCCCAATGTTCAGCGAGCAATTTAAAAAAAAAAATAGAAATCAATGAACTCGATTACCCACGAGTTAGAACGGAAAACGTCAAATTATTATAGCGAAGTTGTAATAAACTTTTGAAATAAATAAAGTTAATCGTGATTCGGTCGTTTTATTATTGCAAAATACCAGCTTTTGTATTTTTTTTTTAAGATTTGTTTGCAACATAAAATGTGTCAATCACGAGAGCTTGCAAAAAAGACGAGCCGTTGGCCGTCGTAACTTTGCTCACGAAGCAGCAGTGAGGCCTCGCACGTCGACAAGATCACGATATTTTGCGGGGGTGCGAGTGCCGGTGTAACTCGTCTATGTTACGACCCATCGTACAACGCGTTACCGAGCGCGCGCGCAACAATTCCA